CATGCCTAGTGTTGAGTGTGGTGGCATGCCTAGTGTTGAGTGTAGTAGCATGCCTAGTGTTGAGTGTGGTGGCATGCCTAGTGTTGAGTGTGGTGGCATGCCTAGTGTTGAGTGTAGTAGCATGCCTAGTGTTGAGTGTGGTGGCATGCCTAGTGTTGAGTGTAGTAGCATTTCCTAGTGTTGAGTGTGGTTTGGGATGCCTAGTGTTGAGTGTGGTGGCATGCCTAGTGTTGAGTGTAGTAGCATGCCTAGTGTTGAGTGTGGTGGCATGCCTAGTGTTGAGTGTGGTGGCATGCCTAGTGTTGAGTGTGGTGGCATGCCTAGTGTTAAGTGTAGTGGCATGCCTAGTGTTGAGTGTGGTGGCATGCCTAGTGTTGAGTGTGGTGGCATGCCTAGTGTTGAGTGTAGTGGCATGCCTAGTGTTGAGTGTGGTGGCATGCCTAGTGTTGAGTGTAGTAGCATGCCTAGTGTTGAGTGTGGTGGCATGCCTAGTGTTGAGTGTGGTGGCATGCCTAGTGTTGAGTGTAGTAGCATGCCTAGTGTTGAGTGTGGTGGCATGCCTAGTGTTGAGTGTAGTAGCATGCCTAGTGTTGAGTGTGGTGGCATGCCTAGTGTTGAGTGTGGTGGGCATGCCTAGTGTTGAGTGTAGTAGCATGCCTAGTGTTGAGTGTGGTGGCATGCCTAGTGTTGAGTGTGGTGGCATGCCTAGTGTTGAGTGTGGTGGCATGCCTAGTGTTGAGTGTAGTGGCATGCCTAGTGTTGAGTGTGGTGGCATGCCTAGTGTTGAGTGTGGTGGCATGCCTAGTGTTGAGTGTAGTGGCATGCCTAGTGTTGAGTGTGGTGGCATGCCTAGTGTTGAGTGTAGTAGCATGCCTAGTGTTGAGTGTAGTAGCATGCCTAGTGTTGAGTGTAGTGGCATGCCTAGTGTTGAGTGTAGTGGCATGCCTAGTGTTGAGTGGAGTGGCATGCCTATGTTGAGTGTAGGTGGCATGCCTAGTGTTGAGTGTGGTGGCATGCCTAGTGTTGAGTGTGGTGGCATGCCTAGTGTTGAGTGTAGTGGCATGCCTAGTGTTGAGTGTGGTGGCATGCCTAGTGTTGAGTGTGGTGGCATGCCTAGTGTTGAGTGTGGTGGCATGCCTAGTGTTGAGTCTGGTGGCATGCCTAGTGTTGAGTGTGTGGCATGCCTAGTGTTGGTGTGTGGCATGCCTAGTGTTGAGTTTTGGTGGCATGCCTAGGGGTGAGTGTGGTGGCATGCCTAGTGTTGAGTGTGGGGGCATGCCTAGTGTTGAGTCTAGTGGCATGCCTAGTTTTTGAGGTGTAGTGGCATGCCAGTTAGTGTGGTGCATGCCTAGTGTTGAGTGTGGTGGCATGCCTAGTGTTGAGTGTAGTGGCATGCCTAGTGTTGAGTGTAGTGGCATGCCTAGTGTTGAGTGTGGTGGCATGCCTAGTGTTGAGTGTGGTGGATGCCTGTGTTGAGTATGGCATGCCTAGTGTTGAGTGTAGGGGCATGCCTAGTGTTGAGTGTAGGGGCATGCCTAGTGTTGAGTGTGTGACATGCTAGTGTTGAGTGTATGGCATCCTAGTGTTGATGAGTGGCATGCCTAGTGTTGAGTGTAGTGGCATGCCTAGTGTTGAGTGTAGTGGCATGCCTAGTGTTGAGTGGAGTGGCATGCCTAGTGTTGAGTGGAGTGGCATGCCTAGTGTTGAGTGGAGTGGCATGCCTAGTGTTGAGTGGAGTGGCATGCCTAGTGTTGAGTGTAGTGGCATGCCTAGTGTTGAGTGTAGTGGCATGCCTAGTGTTGAGTGTAGTGGCATGCCTAGTGTTGAGTGTAGTGGCATGCCTAGTGTTGAGTGTAGTGGCATGCCTAGTGTTGAGTGTAATGGCTCCTGTTTTTGAGTGGAGTGCATGCCTAGTGTTGAGTGGAGTGGCATGCCTAGTGTTGAGTGGAGTGGCATGCCTAGGGGTTGAGTGGAGTGGCAGCCTAGTGTTGAGTGGAGTGGCATGCCTAGTGTTGAGTGTAGTGACATGCCTAGTGTTGAGTGTAGTGGCATGCCTAGTGTTGATTGTGGTGGCATGTGTAGTGTTGAGTGTGGTGGCATGTGGTGTTGAGTGTGGTGGCATGCCTACTGTTGAGTGTGGTGGCATGCCTACTGCTGAGTGTGGTGGCATGCCTAATGTTGAGGAGTGTGGTGGCATGCCTGCCTATACTGCAGCTAGTGAAAGTAAAAGTGTTGGAAAGTGGCCAGCGTGCTAACCTCAGCCTGCTCACAACACACGTTGCAGCAACACGCACCACTGGCAAACATATTATAGAGTAACGTGAAGTAATGCCAGGTAACACTTGCCTCAGGGATCTCATTTCTTCATTTTAAACGTTTATGGGATTCTACCTGCCTAGGGGTAAATATCTTAACAATATAATACATTCGTGGTTCCTCATGGTCAGGAGTCATTGAACTATGAGACTCTTAGTGCTGGTACGGTTGGTTAACATTAGAACGTGTTTCCATAAGATACCTGCTATCCCTCTTCACCCATCAGTAAAATAGGTACCTGGGTGTTAATCGACTGGTGTGGGTCGCATCCTGGGACAAAACTGACCCAATTTGCCTGAAATGCTCTGCATTTCAAGGGGCTTTCTGTATAGTATGTCACTGATGTCGGCTAGGACTGTCTACCTTGTACTTGCAGAAATAGATATAATTATTGATGAGTTTGTTTACATTATATACGCGGACTTATCTCCAGTGCTCTCCTTACCCTCATCAACTCTAAATTGGTTAGTGTGTGTTTGCCCTGATGTAAACACAGCCTCTGCCTCTCCATATAATATGACTTTTATTATTAATTTCGGCGTCTTTATTATGCTTCTATGTTATCTATCGTGTTTCTGATATCAAGTTGAAATAAATGTGATAGATAACCTTTATTACTAATATTAGCGTAATTACACAACATTGTATTCGTGCCACCGCTAGTATCCAGCTATCAAGACGACGCATTATATATTGAATGATGCTTCTGCTTGCTTCTCCCTCTCTCTCCTATAGCTCCTCCCACTTCGGGCCCGTCTTATATTATGCTTGCTTTCCATTTTGAATTTTTATTTACACAAAAAATAGTTTCACTCTTATGCAGACTGCTGCATTATCGAAAAAATGGTATAAATAATATCAGCCCATTTGTGAAAGCATGTTGGACCGCCAGTTGACGTGTATCGGACGCGTGACGTGATTTGTTTACTCTTCAACATAAGTAAAACTCGAACATTTCCTCTACATTGAACTCAATTTTAAGGTACTTTTAATCTGTTAAATATTCAAAATCATCTCTATTTCTGTAATATATCTTTCATTCTATCAAATGATACCAAGAAAACGAGAATACAATAAAAAACACCATACAGAAATACGCCTCTAAGTCTGTAAGTGTATTTTTGGGGGTCTGAAACGGATTAATCTAATTTACATTATTCCTTATGGGAAAAATTCGTTTGGTACTCGAACAGATCGGCACTCGAACAGCCTTCTGGAACGAATTAAGTTCGAGTACCGAGGTTCCACTGTACTTCAATATTCTCAACAGGAACTGGAGTTGCGTTCTTACACAGAACTGCAGTGTTCTTACACAACTGCAGTGTTCTTACACAACTGCAGTGTTCTTACACAGCATTGTAGTTTTTAATGTATTGTCCCCTTGATGCGACCCACGACATAAGGCTAACACACAGGCTCCTATTTTCACTACTAGGTGGGCAGAGGCAACAGGGTTGTAAGGGAAACTTGCTCGCCTGTTTTACCTTGCTATGAAATCGAATCCTGGATTTTGCATACTGTATCCCAAAGTTCGTAGTCTCACCAGTGACCTGCCGGCACTCCGTGTTTTTCTATTTTCGATGGTGAGGCGGGAGCTGCAGCAGGTATATATAGATTTTGGAGGATCTAACCTGCCAGGCAGGTAATTAAAGGAAAGTTTAATCTTATAGAGAGCACTTCGAGGGTTGACTTGTAAAGTCTTTCAACGTTCTGGTTGACCAGGCAAGTGCCAGACGAGCCTGACCCAAGGCCGGGTTCTGGGAGTAGAAAAAACTCTCGGAACTCATCAAATTTAGATTTTTTGTTAAATAGCATCTCATCTGCGTGACGTAACTCAACCAACACTTTTATACCAGACAAAACCAACTCTCGCAACTCTTCTTCCAGTCTTCCTCAACCTCCCATACAAAATTAATTACTCATCTTCTTCCATTACATTTCTACTGTAACTAATTAACTTCCAGTATCTTCATCTCTTTCGGTCGTTCCATAAACTGAAGGCATCGAGTCACTTTCAAACTGCTTAAGAAATTTAAATTACTGAATTCGTTTGTAGTATTAATGCATACTTAAAACTTACTATTTCTCATTTACCTACGTCTCTATTTTGTACATTTAAAAATTACTTAACCTATATCTAATTCTTAAGTAGTTTTCAAACATATTAGTCTGGCCGAAATGCACAGCATCCTAGTTAGTGGCTTTCTGTGTCTAACAGTATTTTATTACATGTAAACTACATTACCTGTATACTGCAGAACAAAATATTCGTATATGTAAAGTATGTGCCTACTGATCTCGATAAGGTGAAATTGTCACTAAAAAAAAATTATAGTAATCATCACGCCAAATTAACATCCTCATCAGTTTTGAAAATTGTTGGAGTTACTGTGGAAAGAGTTGTGTGCTGGAAGTGGGAAGTAGAGTGCTTGTACTCAGCAGGATGAGTGAGGAAGTCACCGTTCATAGGATCATATGAACTGTGGTGTGAGCGCATTGCTGGAAGACACTGTTAAAATGAATGAGTGTGAATGTTTTCTCTTCTGAGGGTCGCTCTACCTTGCTGGGGAACCAGCAGTTGTGCTGAAAACTATTTAAAGATTTCTAGGAAATAAGGCTTGTATTGCAACATTTGTTTTCCTAGAAATGAAGGCTTGTATTGCAACATACATTTGTTTGTTCAGGTATCGGGATAGATGACACCTTCGTGATGCTGGCTGCCTGGCGCCGTACAAGACTGCAGGACAGTGTACAGGAGAGGATGGCTCATACCTTTGCTGAAGCTGCTGTCAGTATCACCATCACTTCCCTCACTGACATGATCTCATTCTTCGTGGGTGCCATTACACCATTCCCCTGCGTCCAGATCTTCTGTCTTTACACAGGTAAGTTTTCTGTCTTTCTTTGAAATAGTTCAAATATTTTTAAAACAGGAAACCATGTTAATTTACATGTTTCTTCTGTAGTCTTAATTTTTATCTTGCCCTTAATTTATTCAGTAATAGCTATGATATATACTTTATCTGTATATTTATAATTCTTAAACACACACACACATATGAGGTATGACAGTGGGCACCTGTGACGAGCGGGGTCAAACAAGGGTCGGTCCTAGGACCAGTGCTATTTATGGTGTATGTGAATGCCATGATGGAAGGGTTAGACTCAGAAGTGTCCCAGTTCGCAGATGATGTGAAGCTAATGAGGAGACTTAAATCGGATGAGGATCAGGTAGGACTTCAAAGAGACCTGGACAGGCTGGACACCTGGTCCAGCAACTGGCTTCTCGAATTTAACTCAGCCAAGTGCAAAGTTATGAAGATCGGGGAAGGGCAAAGAAGACCGCAGACGGAGTATAGGCTAGGTGGCCAACGACTGCAAACGTCGCTCAAGGAGAAAGATCTTTGGGTGAGTATAACACCTAGCACGTCTCCGGAAGCACACATCAACTAGATAACTGCTGCAGCATATGAGCGCCTGGCAAATCTGAGAATAGCGTTCCGATACCTTAGTAAGGAATCGTTCAAGACACTGTACACCGTGTATGTCAGGCCCATATTGGAGTATGCAGCACCTGTTTGGAACTCTCACTTGATCAAGCACTTCAAGAAATTAGAGAAAGTGCAAAGGTGTGCGACAATGTTAGTTCCAGAGCTAAAGGGAATGTCCTACGAAGAAAGGTTAAGGGAAATCGGCCTGACGACACTGGAAGACAGGAGGGTCAGGGAAGACATGATAACAACATACAAAATACTGCGTGGAATAGACAAAGTGGACAGAGACAGGATGTTCCAGAGAGGGGACACAGAAACAAGGGGTCACAATTGGAAGTTGAACAAAATGGTATACAATACCGACAGGTTGATTGGTAAGACACATAGGCAACAGTTAGGCAACTTTATTCCGAAACGTTTCGCCTACACAGTAGGCTTCTTCAGTCGAATACAGAAAGTAGGCAGGAACAGTAGAGATGTGAAGACGATGTAATCAGTCCATCACCCTTGAAGTCGTAGAATTTGAGGTTGTCAGTCCCTCAGCCTGGAGAAGTTCAGTTCCATAGTCAGGAACTATCTGATAGATACAACAATCAGATAGTTCCTGACTATGGAACTGAACTTCTCCAGGCTGAGGGACTGACAACCTCAAATTCTACGACTTCAAGGGTGATGGACTGATTACATCGTCTTCACATCTCTACTGTTCCTGCCTACTTTCTGTATTCGACTGAAGAAGCCTACTGTGTAGGCGAAACGTTTCGGAATAAAGTTGCCTAACTGTTGCCTATGTGTCTTACCAACCAATTGGAAGTTGAAGACCCAGATTTGTCAAAGGGATGTTACGAAGTATTTCTTCAGTCATAGAGTGGTCAGGAAGTGGAATAGTCTAGCAAGTGAGGTAGTGGAGGCAGGAACCATACATAGCTTTAAGATGAGGTATGATAAAGCTCATGGAGCAGGGAGAGAGAGAGGACCTAGTAGCACTCAGTGAAGAGGCGGGGCCAGGAGCTGAGTCTCGACCCCTGCAACCTCAACTAGGTGAGTACACACACACGCCTGCCACACACACACACGCATGCCCCACACACACGCCACACACACACACACACACACACACACACACACACACACACACACACACACACACACACACACACACACACACACGCACGCCACACGCACGCCACACGCACGCCACACGCACGCCACACGCGCACACGAACGCACACACGCGCACACACACACACACACACACACACACACACACACACACACACACACACACACACACACACACACACACACACACAGTGTGCAAGGAGGCTGAGGAGAGGTTTGTACCCAAGGGTAACAGGAATAATGAAAAAGCCAGGATGAGCCCATGGTTTACCCAAAGGTGCAGGGAGGCAAAAACCAAGTGTGCTAAGGAATGGAAGAAATATAGAAGACAAAGGACCCAGGAGAATAAGGAGAGCAGTCGTAGAGCCAGAAATGAATATGCACAGATAAGAAGGGAGGCCCAACGACAATATGAAAACGACATAGCAGCGAAAGCCAAATCTGACCCGAAGCTGTTGTACAGCCACATCAGGAGGAAAACAACAGTCAAGGACCAGGTAATCAGGCTGAGGAAGGAAGGAGGAGAGACAACAAGAAATGACCGTGAAGTTTGTGAGGAACTCAAGAGATTCAAAGAAGTGTTCACAGAGGAGACAGAAGGGGCTTCAGAAAGACGAAGAGGTGGGGTACACCACCAAGTGCTGGACACAGTACACACAACCGAGGAAGAAGTGAAGAGGCTTCTGAGTGAGCTAGATACCTCAAAGGCAATGGGGTCAGATAACATCTCTCCATGGGTCCTGAGAGAGGGAACAGAGGCGCTGTGTGTACCCCTAACAACAATATTCAATACATCTATCGAAACAGGGAGATTGCCTGAGGCATGGACGACAGCAAATGTAGTCCCGATCTTTAAAAAAGGAGACAGACATGAAGCACTAAACTACAAACCAGTGTCACTGACATGTACAGTATGCAAAGTCATGAAGAAGATTATCAGGAGAAGAATGGTGGAATACCTAGAAAGGAATGATCTCATCAACAGCAGCCAACATGGTTTCAGGGACGGGAAAGCCTGTGTCACAAAAATACTGGAGTTCTATGACATGGTGACAGCAGTAAGACAAGACAGAGAGGGGTGGGTGAATTGCATTTTTTTGGACTGCAAGAAGGCATTTGACACAGTTCCACACAAGAGATTAGTGCAAAAACTGGAGGACCAAGCAGAGATAACAGGGAAGGCAATACAATGGATCAGGGAATACTTGTCAGGAAGACAGCAGCGAGTCATGGTACGTGGCGAGGTGTCAGAGTGGGCACCTGTGACCAGCGGGGTCCCAAAGGGGTCAGTCCCAGGACCAGTGCTGTTTCTGGTATTTTTGAACGACATGACGGAAGGAATAGACTCCGAAGTGTCCCTGTTTGCAGATGACGTGAAGTTGATGAGAATAATTCATTCGATCGAAGACCAGGCAGAACTACAAAGGGATCTGGACAGGCTGCAGACCTGGTCCAGCAACTGGCTCCTGGAGTTCAACCCCACCGAGTGCAAAGTCATGAAGATTGGGGTGAGTATAACACCAGGCACATCTCCTGAAGCGCACATCAGCCAAATAACTGCTGCAGCATATGGGCGCCTAGCTAAAACCTCAGAACAGCATTCCGACATCTTAATAAGGAATCGTTCAGGACCCTGTACACCGTCTACATTAGGCCCATATTGGAGTATGCGACACCAGTTTGGAACCCACACCTAGCCAAGCACGTAAAGAAACTAGAGAATGTGCAAAGGTTTGCAACAAGACTAGTCCCAGAGCTAAAAGGTATGTCCTACGAGGAGAGGTTAAGGGAAATCAACCTGACGACACTGGAGGACAGGAGAGATAGGGGGGACATGATAACGACATACAAAATACTGAGAGGAATTGACAAGGTGGACAAAGACAGGATGTTCCAGCATTGGACACAACAACAAGGGGACACATTTAGAAGTTGAAGACACAGATGAATCACAGGGATGTTAGGAAGTATTTCTTCAGCCACAGAGTAGTCAGGAAGTGGAATAGTTTGGGAAGCGATGTAGTGGAGGCAGGATCCATACATAGCTTTAAGCAGAGGTATGATAAAGCTCACGGTTCAGGGAGAGTGACCTAGTGGCGACTAGTGAAGAGGCGGGGGCCAGGAGCTTGGACTCGACCCCTGCAACCTCAACTAGGTAAGTACAACTAGGTGAGTACACGCGCACACACACAAACGCACACACGAACGCACACGCTTGCTTCTCATAATAACTCTGCATTAAAAGTTGAGATTTATTTTTAGACTATTGGATCACTACGACAAGGTCCTAAATGCACTAGAAGACAAAAAGAATGCAGATGTAATATATACAGACTTTGCAAAAGCCTTCGACAAGTGTGACCATGGCGTAATAGCGCACAAAATGCGTGCTAAAGGAATAACAGGAAAAGTCGGTCGATGGATCTATAATTTCCTCACTAACAGAACACAGAGAGTAGTCGTCAACAGAGTAAAGTCCGAGGCAGCTACGGTGAAAAGCTCTGTTCCACAAGGCACAGTACTCGCTCCCATCTTGTTCCTCATCCTCATATCCGACATAGACAAGGATGTCAGCCACAGCACCGTGTCTTCCTTTGCAGATGACACCCGAATCTGCATGACAGTGTCTTCCATTGCAGACACTGCAAAGCTCCAGGCGGACATCAACCCAAATCTTTCAGTGGGCTGCAGAAAACAATATGAAGTTCAACGATGAGAAATTTCAATTACTCAGATATGGTAAACATGAGGAAATTAAATCTTCATCAGAGTACAAAACAAATTCTGGCCACAAAATAGAGCGAAACACCAACGTCAAAGACCTGGGAGTGATCATGTCGGAGGATCTCACCTTCAAGGACCATAACATTGTATCAATCGCATCTGCTAGAAAAATGACAGGATGGATAATGAGAACCTTCAAAACTAGGGAGGCAAGCCCATGATGACACTCTTCAGGTCACTTGTTCTATCTAGGCTGGAATATTGCTGCACACTAACAGCACCCTTTTAAGGCAGGTGAAATTGCCGACCTAGAAAATGTACAGAGAACTTTCACGGCGCGCATAACGAAGATAAAACACCTCAATTACTGGGAGTGCTTGAGGTTCCTAAACCTGTATTCCCTGGAACGCAGGAGGGAGAGATACAGGATTATATACACCTGGAAAATCCTAGAGGGACTAGTACCGAACTTGCACACGAAAATCACTCACTACGAAAGCAAAAGACTTGGCAGACGATGCACCATCCCCCCAATGAAAAGCAGG